TCACGTCTGAGTAAGTAAGCATAGGATTACAATTATATATTTGGACCCTGACAGGAGCAAGGACTACTTCATGCTAATAAAACCCTACATCCTTCCTAGTGTTATAAAACTTGAGGCAAAGCACTGAGCCTGCAATATATAATAATTTAGGGATGTGCAATTGAAATGTTCAAGCTGGCTGAAGCACAGAAGGCACTAGAGGAGAAGAATTCTGCAAAGTGGCTGGATTGAAGTGCGCAAAATGTTTTGATATTTATTTTATTAGATTTAGCATCACAATTCCACCATGTGCTGCTACTGTCATGCTGACAGGTTCAAACCCATAAAGATGTCTGAGGAAAGAGAAGGGTGGAGGAAATCAGTTAGAAGGATCTTCAGACTTTCTGCATAGCTACTGCACAAAGACAGTTGCGTGCAGAAGAAGGAGGAGCCCCGGGAACTCCTTTAGTGACAATAAGAGCAAGTATGAACTAGCCAAATTTACTTATCTTCATTCCATTAAATTGCCGAGCCAAACTGTAGCATGTGCACACTTTTGCTTTGTGGCTACTGAAAGCTTGGAGGGCTTTAACCAACTTGGGTGGCTTTCAAAGAGGATTAGACAAATTGATGGAGGATAAGGCTATTAATAGGGACGCGGGTGGTGCTGTGGGTAAAACCTCAGCGCCTAGGACTTGCTGATCGCATGGTCGGTGGTTCGAATCCCCGCTGCGGGGTGCGCTCCCGCTGCTCGATCCCAGCGCCTGCCAACCTAGCAGTTCGAAAGCACCCCCGGGTGCAAGTAGATAAATAGGGACTGCTTACTAGCGGGAAGGTAAACGGTGTTTCCGTGTGCGGCTCTGGCTCGCCAGAGTAGCTTCGTCACGCTGGCCACGTGACCCGGAAGTGTCTGCGGACAGCGCTGGCTCCCGGCCCCTATAGAGTGAGATGAGCGCACAACCCTAGAGTATGGCAAGACTGGCCCATACGGGCAGGGGTACCTTTACCTTTTTAAGGCTATTAATAGCTGCTAGCCACAATGTTCTCCCTCCACTGTGAGAGACAGTTTGCCAGTTGATGGGAGAACATCTGGTTGGCTACTTTCTGAAATCCATGGGCATCTGGTTGGTCACTTTGACAGTAGAATGCTTTTTAGATCCATGACTGGGGTTCTTCTGTTTTGTTCTTATCTCACAATTTTTCCAAAGAGCTCACCCCAGTAGACATGGTTTTCACTTTCATTTAATCCTCATTGCAACCCTGGGAGATCAATTAGGCTGAAACTCAGTTCATTTGCATTATTTAGTTTAATGGGGAAAGGATGTAATCAATCCAAACGAAGAGGCATGAAGGTAGGGTCCAGGCGCTAATGATAAAAGCTGAGAGAGGGGTTTTTTTAATTAAAAAAAGTAATGCTGAATTGTTACACCAGCACAGTAGAAAAAAGGAAACCAGTTATTTTTCTATAAAATTTACACACCGCTTGATTGAGGTTTTTTACAATGTGGTTTGCAAAAGATAAAACAGAAAAATCAAGAGAAAAGAAATAAAAAAAATTACAATTTATGTAAATACCTGAAAAGAGGGGGAGGAAGAGGAACATTAGGATGTTAATTTTTGTCCTCCTTGTGAAACACTTGCTTTAGATCATAATAAACCATATCCCCACTCCTCCCCTTCGTGTGTCCTTATCCTCAACTGTGGTGTTTACTTATTTTATTCACCTTATATACTTTCCTTACACAAAAATACTAGAGTGGTTTACAGTTTAAAAATTTAAAATAAACTGATGTAGTCCAGATGGAGAAGAAAGCCCTAAATACAGGCTCATAAGCCTCATTGCGCCATGCTGCTAATCCGCATAGTTGAGAGAAAAACAATGCAAAAAGGAATCCTGCTCACCTTCTATTCTCCCAAGTGCAGTGCTCAGGGCACACTTAGAATCCCAATTAGCATTCCATTTTTGTGTGCAAAAGCACCCCCTCCCCCACTGCTTGATGTTAAAGGTCTGACCCAGAGGTCCACCCCTTCAATGGCTCTCTTTGACTCCCTTTGGACTCCCTCAGCTCAATCCTGCAGGCAGTGGTCTGGAGGTAGACAGCTGAGCTGGACTCTGCCGCCTTTGGGAATTTGTTATTGCTCACTCTTGACCCAGAAGTCTATCCTGCACTTGTTTTCTTCTGCCCCGCCGGCAAAACGGTGAGGTTGCATAGCCAAACAGCTGAAGATTCTTCTCACCATGCTGCACTTTGCCTCCCAGATCAGCAACTTGCAAGCAGTTTTCCCAAGAGCCTGCCCTCTCTTAGGATCTTGCCAGAAAATCCACATTTGTCCATTCCGAACATCACACCGGTCCTTTGTGGTAATGTTTCTGCTTGTTGTGTGATTTCTGAATAGCGCACCAAACTTTTGTGTGGACCTGAAGTCCAATTTCAGCATGTGATGAACCTCGTCTTGAGTTTTTTTCTTTCTAGTTTTGACAAAATGCTGTTGGCGCCCAGAAAAGGAACAAAAGCAAGGTCCTGTAAAAGAACATTGGAAGTTTTGCCAACTAGAAATACAGTGGAGCTGAGGTTTCCCCATGCATGTATCTAAGAGATCCAGACGTTCTCTGGAGTTCACGCATCTCAATGCAAGGGAGATCTTTTGAGTGTCACATTAGAGTAGAAATGGGAGAAAGGGAACTGTGTGTTCCTTGCACCACATGCTCCCCCCCTTTTTTTTGCTGTTGTCTTGATCTATTGTGACATCCATCACCAAGGGAAGGTGATGGCCCAAGCAAGATGGAAATTGGCAGGCCCAGAGTTCTGGACCAGACTGTATTGGAAGCTTAAGGAAAAACATTGTCAGGACCTTGGACAAGGGCCAAGGGGCCTGGTTACAGCCACAGTTTGCTCCCTGCAGTTGGAACGCAAAAAGGAAGTTGTCTCAGCAGCATTTTAGAGTGGCTGGCAGAGCATTATAATATGGGCTATGTAGTCAAGATGAAAGCCCGCCCCCCCGCATCATATATCCAGTTAAATAGCTGCTGTCCCTTTTCTGCAACTGCCGGCTTCTTTTAGGCAGTGAGGCTACAAAGGGTAGGGCTTCTATAAGGAAAGTTCTTCAGGGGTTTCCTGGTCCTCCAAAAGTCTAGTTTAATCCCTGAAGTCTGGCGGCAGTCATGTCTCCTCAGGGTCCAGGGGGCTTCATTTTCAATGTATCCACCGGGGAAGAAACATGGAGTGGATCTGTTTCAGTCTCCTTGGAGCTACTATTGCAAAAGGACTCCACATCTGAAGGTTCTTGGCTGTGGCTTTGTAAAATCTATTAAGTGTCTTTAGGATTTCAATGCAAACACAGAACTGCAGCCTTGAAGCTCTTGTGTGTGGAAAACTACCTTACCCTAGTACAATGTAACTAAATATTCTAAGCCTACTTTTCTGCTTTTATTTGTATTAAAGCTTTTTGAATTTCATGTTTTTCTAAAGAAAGCTCAGAATGTGCTCTTTAAAAACTAAACTGAGAGTTGTTGCTGGGAATTGTTTAGCACAACGAAGAGCATGTTGTACCCAGTAAAATGAATTCAACATGCTTCGACTGAAAGCTACAGCATTAAAGCTTTTAGCATTTCTTCTGGGTAATATATAAAGGCGGCAAGGCTTTATGTATTTAATTCATGTAAGCTAACTATATTTCATGGAATTTAGCAAGGCTTTCAAAAGAACTGAAGATCCAGCATTCTGGAAGGCAAATAAAGCTTTGGTAGATTACATTTACGTGATGTTTTTAAAGAATATTTCCATTTTTAACCATCAAGACTAAAGTAGAAATGGCTCTCAAAACAGGACTGAAAGTGCTTCTGAAGGACAGCTATACAGAAAGTTTTGTAGTTAACCACAAATAGCCCAACTATCATTCCATACAGACAGAGACCCTCTTCCTCTTCCTTCTAGGTCCTTCAACTACATTTGAGTTTAACCTCTTCCATTCCAAGTTGATTCCTGATTCCCTGTTCCTAATTCAACACAGATGAATTCAGAGGCAGCCTGAATAAGGAACTGAATTTTGGGCACCACTCTGCTCTCCGCCTTGACTCATATCTTCCCCACTACCAACCAGCCTGTGCATTCTGAGGTTCTGCCCATAACAGAGGCTGGACTGGATGGGTGATGGCACAATATAGGGCATTCTTGGTAGTGGCCCCCTGCCTATGGAACTCCCAAGTGACAGTGTCTGCCACAACCATAGCAATATTCAAAACAGGAAGAGAAACCAATGACTCTCCATATGATCCTGAACTCCAGACACCCATCATCCCAGCCAAGTCATCCATGGCCATTAGCCACACTGACTGAGGCTAATGGGGGGTAGAGTCCAACAAAATCACTCACAATCCATGTTGCATTGCTAAAACATTACCTGCTTCAAGAACAAACAAGCAAGAAGTCAACAGAAAGACAATAAGGTTTATAAGCTCATAAGAAAAAGCCTGCTAGATAAAGCCAGAGGTCAACGTGGTCCAGCATTCTATTTCCACTTTGGCCAACCATATACCTATGTGATGCCTATCATGAGTGCAATAGCCTTCCCTACCTCATATCCTCCTGAAATTGCTATTCAACAGCATATTATCTCTGATTCTGAATAATAGCATTTCAGTACAGTGGTACCTCGGGTTAAGTACTTAATTCGTTCTGGAGGTCCGTTCTTAACCTGAAGCACCACTTTAGCTAATGGGGCCTCCTGCTGCCGCTGCGCCACTGGAGCACAATTTCTGTTCTCATCCTGAAGCAAAGTTCTTAACCCGAGGTACTATTTCTGGTTTAGTGGAGTGTAACCTGAAGCGTATGTAACCCGAGGTACCACTGTACTCTAATAGATCCTCTCAGGGCACTTTGGGTTACAAAATATCCTTCTGGGCACAAGGCACTGAATGAAAATATGTATGTTGCCTCCATGGGTGTATTTTGTTCTGTGGTATAGTATAGACAATGAGACCCTGTTGATGACTTGCTTTGTTTGTTTCAATTCTTTATTAGGTGCTTTTGCTTGCAAGATGGTGCCTTTTGTTCAATCCACTGCAATAGTTACTGAGATTCTTACAATGACCTGCATTGCGGTAGAAAGGCATAACGGGATCGTCCACCCTCTTAAGATGAAATGGCAGTACACCAACCGAAGAGCATACACAATGCTTGGTAAGGTCCTGGGCAACTTTGGTATTGCACGACACAGCATGTTGCTAGTGATTTCTCACTTTTTATATGTCTGCTATAGAGCAGTGGTGAGGAACCTGGGGCACTCCAGATGCTGGACCTGACCTTTGGCCATGTGGGTTGCAACTGATTTGAGTTGCAGTTCAACAACATCTGGAGGGACCCAGATTACCCACCTCTGCTTTAGGGGATGCAGCTGCTATAAGAGAAGATTAGTTTTTTAAAAAGAATATAAAAGAAAAACCCACTTTGTATGCATATAGATTAAAACCCCTCCCTCACTCCAAGCATACATACAGAATCAAATGGAACTAGTCGTTTAATATATTTGTATATGGTTTATACAAAAAGATCACAATCTTAAAAAATCAAGTTGATAAAAAGCCCAAGAAGAAACTGGAGCAATAACAACACAATGATAATGGTGAAATGCAAAAACAAATGGGTTCATTGCTTGACTGAAAGCCAAGAGAGAGGGAGCCAACTGGGCTTTCTTATGGAAGGGCCTTCCATAAAATGGCACTGCTGTTGAGAAGGTCCTGCCTTGTGTCCTACCCAGGTAATGCTCTGAAGGAAAAGGAACAGGGAACAGCCTGTAATGGGGAGACAGACTAATGGGAGGAAATGCAACTTCACATGGACCCTGCTAAAGCTCTAGTAATATTTTATAAACGGGCCCAGTGCAAAAAAACTCTTTCGGTAAGCTACATTTTTGCAGCCTCTTCAGCTAATGTTCACTGTAAAAATGACCTAGTCCCATCTGATTCCCAACGTAAGATTGCTTTCTCTCCCCCTCCCTGCCTCTCTCTCTGCTGCTCTGTCTGTTGGTGGTGATAAACCCATAGGAGGAGAAAAATGTTTTGTTGATGCATTAAAATATCTGTTTTGTTTGTGCATGAGCTGTACTAGGACTTCTTCCTTCCTGAAACCCTCATGACCTGACTTCCATATGCGCAGAATTATTGAAAAAGCACTCACAGTGCGTCCTTTGAAACAAGATAGTTGGCAGAATGCCTCGAGAGCCTCTGTTGCATCCAACATACGAGATTTACCCTAGAAGCCCATATGCATGCTTTGTGGGCTGATACCTTTCAGAACAAAACTGAATGTGACTCTGTCTCAATACTCACTGACTGGGGTGGGAGAAGAGTCCCAGATTCACTCAGGCGTTGGCATCGTTGGGTAACTGCTGATGCCCACACCTCTGCAGGAGCCCTATGCTGAACTCCACAGCTCCTGGCCCCGCTCTCCTTTTTGCAAATGTGGCTTGTTCACCACCCTTCTATGAGCATGTGATTGGTGACAACCGTGAGAAGATGGAGAAGTGCCCTCTCCTTTTCTTAGGTCCTCTCTCTGGGCAGTTGTGAGGATTGCTCCAGAAAAAGAAGGCAGCTGAAAGGGCAGAGGTGGCAAGTCTCATCAGAGAGGGCACCTACTGAGTGCATCTTGCCTAAGCCCCCTGGCAAACCTGGAGATGGCACTGAATTCACTTTCAAATTTCTCCCTTTCCAGTATTGGTCCATTTTGTGATTTGGACATGTAAAATTCCATATAAGATAAAGGTAAAGGAGCCCTGGATGGTTAAGTCCAGTCAAAGGCAACTATGGGGTGCGGCACTCATCTCACTTTCAGGTCGAGGTGACTTTTGTCCACAGACAGCTTTCCATGTCATGTGGCCAGCATGACTAAACCACATGACATATTTATCTACTTTCACTGGTGTGCTTTCAAACTGCTAGGTTGGTGGGAGCTGGGACAGAGCAATGGGAGTTCACCCTGTTGTGCAGCTTCGAACAGCTGACCTTCCAATTAGCAAGCCCAAGAGGATCAGTGGTTTAGAACACAGTGTCACCTGCGTCCCTTGAAAATATACTTTCTTAAAAACAAAAGCAAAAGAACTTGTAGCTCATTGCTCTGAATTCAGCTCCAGGGCAAAATTCATTTCACAATTAGTCCTAATTCTAACTGCCTTCCTCGTGCTTGTTGTAATATCTTGTCCAAATGCTCCATATGGTCACATCACCAACTAATATAAAAATGCTAATTGCTCGCTCTAATTTCCTGTTTTCTCTCTCTTTAAAACCAGCAATTACACCATCACCATCATTATTGTCATTGTTATTATTATTACTATTTTCAGGCATAGTCTGGCTGTTGGCAGCTATCGTTGGGTCACCCATGTGGCACGTACAGCGCCTGGAGGTATGGTCTGTTGCATTGTGCAATTATATCTTTATAGGTCAGTTTTACATTGAGTTTCAGCATGAATAAGGCTACTCTTCAGGAGATGACTATTATGTGCTGTAGAAAAATGTACAAAGACAAGTACAGGCTGTGACGGCACAACAGCACTTTCCCCCCTGGCACCGTTGGGCCTGCCCTCACTTAAATATAATGCACCCACCTCACAGAACACCAGTTCCACCAATTCCTGCAGACTACCCCAGATTATCTTGTGGGGGACTTATGTGAGGGAAAACTTAATGATTTGGAGTCTCAGGCAGGATTTGATAAAAAAAAAGAGAGATTTTATTTAACAAAGGAAGTTTATGGCACAAAGTGGGTAAAACATAGGATACCTCAGATTATAATGTTATTTCACTTCAGTTCTTTCTCAGTTGTTGCACAGCTGTTGCCACTTAGTACTTTGGTTCTTAAACCTGTCATTACTTCCTGTCAGTTACACACCTCTTAGACAGCCGTACTCCTGAGGTACTCCAAGTAACAGACCCAAGGGATCTCCACACCCCTCTTAACAGGTTTGGGAGTCTTCTCTTTCTGTAGAAGAATCTTTCCCCTCCTGACTGGAATGAGTCCTACATAGACTTTATCCTTACATCTTCTACTTCTCCTGGCTCAGCCTCAGCCTCCCAATGAATTCCTGGCCTTTTACTCTTACAGGACACCACACACTGTCCTTCACTCTAAGCTCAGAGACTTCTTTCTCTAGCTTGTGATATATTCCTCAGAGTGGATGTTTCTACCCAGAACCAACTCTCTCTCCTCTCACTCCCTATCTCCCAACCAACATCTATCCCAACCTCCCAAAATTGTTTCTCCAAATCCTCTCCTTTTCAACCCCCTCTCCTGGAACCCTGACCAATCAGAAGCTGCCATTCATTAACCATTTGCTGGCAGGGGAAAAGAAAAAGAAAACACTTGGGGACCCAACCTGCCCAGTGAAACAAACTTTTCCATCACACAGGCATTTAAATAGTGACCTTAGAAATGAGTATGGACCCAAGCAAATAAGGCTTGTTTCTGTTGAAGAACAACTGGTTTTAGCAATTGTTAGCTCTCTTGGGAAGTACTGTTTGCATGGTAAACCAATGTGAGATCAGAGCTGTGCTGAGTTGCCCTGTCCAGATATCACACGCATTGACCAGCTCTGCTCCCTGGCATCTCTGTGTACATTGTGGACATCTGAAGCCATGTGTGTGTAGCATTGGTCTTATGTGTGCATTATACTCCTAAATAGGTTGATAAGATAAAGGGACCCCTGACCATTAGGTCCAGTTGTGACCGACTCTGGGGTTGCGGCACTCATCTCGCTTTATTGGCCGAGGGAGCCGGCGTACAGCTTCCGGGTCATGTGGCCAGCATGACTAAGCTGCTTCTGGCGAACCAGAGCAGCACACGGAAACGCCGTTTACCTTCTTGCCGGAGCAGTACCTATTCATCTACTTGCACTTTGATGTGCTTTCGAACTGTTAGGTTGGCAGGAGCAGGGACCACGCAACGGGAGTTCACTCCGTCGCGGAGATTTGAACCGCCAACCTTCTAATCGACAAGTCCTAGGCTCTGTGGTTTAACCCACAGCACCACCCGCGTCCCTAAATAGGTTGATAGTCTGTCCTTATTGTTAGAGCAGAAAATATATACAGTGGTACCTCGGGTTACAGACGCTTCAGGTTACAAACGCTTCAGGTTACAGACTCCACTAACCTGGAAGTAGTACCTCGGGTTAAGTATGAGAACAGAAATTGCATGGTGGCGGCGCGGCAGCAGCAGCAGCAGGCCCCATTAGCTAAAGTGGTACCTCAGGTTAAGAACAATTTCAGGTTAAGAACGGACCTCTGGAACGAATTAAGTTCTTAACCAGAGGTACCACTGTATTTACAAAGCAGCTTGTGCGATGAACTTTAAAAATAAATTTTCACTGACCTGCCATTGTGTTTGGGTCAGACACTTGGTTTAAGTCTTTCTGTAGTACCATAGTTTACTGCTTCTGGCCCTAGATTATAAGTTCAGGGAGTGTTCATGCTGTTCCTTTTTAAAGTTTACCTTGTGTTTTGCCATGGCTTTCCTTGTTGTTTCATGGACCTTGCTGTTTATCCTACAGTAAACAGATGGCAGATATTCATATATTTGATTGTTGTATTTTAAATATGGTTGTGTTTAAAATAGTTGTACAACCCATCCCTGATTTAGCTCAATTGGTTTGGTCAGAAATGCGTGTCTGCTGTGTGGGTTGCACATTGCTCTGTGGTAGAACAGTTTTGTGTACAAAATGTCCCAGTTTTGGTCATTGCTCGGCAAATAAGGTTGGGAAAGACGTCTCTGCTTGATATCCTAAAGTGCTAGCCTAAATGACGCAGTGGCCACCCCTGAGTCACGGCAAGCCAATCTGTACAGGTTTTGCACAGCCAGCACTTAAACCTCTGCTCATATATGATGAAAAATATGCACCTTTTCCTTTCCTTGCCAATAGGCTAGGAGTAAGTTCTCTTTTCTGTACTGAGTGTGACTTCAACTTAATTTGTTTCAGAATAAATATGACTTCCTTTACGATAAAGTGTACGTTTGCTGCCTGGAAGAATGGGCCAGTCCTGTCCACCAGAAGATATATGCTACTTTCATTTTGGCTATTCTCTTCCTGCTCCCAATGATACTGATGCTCTTGCTCTACAGCAAGATTGGTTATGAGCTTTGGATTAAGAAAAGAGTTGGAGATGCTTCTGTTCTGCAAACTATGCATGGGAACGAGATGTCCAAAATAGCAAGGTTTGTATAGGCGGTCTTTAGCATTCAGCATTAAACTCCAAAATGTATGTAACTTTATTTTATTGGAGTCTATAAAGGAAATCCTTGACTCCCCAGCTTTCTTGAATTCTTTGAGAGTGTCAATGATCACCTGTAGACAGAGGTTATCTATCAGACAAGTTATAATTCAGGCCCAAATTACATGTTACAAACAAATGTTTGTTATGAAGGATCAGAAATGTTTGGCTCATCTCTCCTACTCTGCCCCCCCTTTTTCTATTTTACACACACACCTGGATTATATCATTCTCAGATGGTGGGGGAGATATGTTACCTTTCTACCCCATTCAGAATGAAGATCCAGATGTTGAGATCAAAAGATAAACCTAGCAACTTTGCCACCAAAGTTCAGTCCTCAGCAGCGGTATTTGAATGTGTTTTAATGAGTTGTTAATTATTAATCTTAGCATTATGCTTTTAATATTTGTGTTTATTTATATCATGATGTATTATTTATGATGATGAAGTCTGTATGTTTGTTCTTCAAAATCCCAAGTGCCTTTGGAGGAAAGGCGATTTTAAAATATTTTAAGCAAACAAACAACAAGGGCAGTTCCAGCCCTTCTCCATTAACTTCTCCCCCAACAGTTGCATGAATGTTACCCTGCAGCTGTGAAAAATTACCAACAATACAAAGTCCTAACAACCGGTTTTAGGGTTTTTAGAAATTAATGGCTAAAAATAAATCAATCTCAGCACAGGTAATCATTTTATTATTTCTATAGCACTTAGCCCCACTTTTAAAAAAGCATTTTTGACGTGGGAGCCACTTCACTGCAGCTCATTTCGCTTGGGTAACATGGGAAGAGTCTATGCTGCAGTTTCTTCCTGTGCCAATGTTGATCCAGTTTCCACCAAGGGTGGAATCAGGTGTGGGGATTATTGCATTGTTTTTGTGGTTCTAAAGCTCACACTCCCTTTTATATTGCATTATCTGATGGGTTCTCACACTCATATATACAGTATGTGAGAAAATTAATAAAAATGCTTTATATCAGATGAACTGGATAGCTCATTTGGTTAGGGCATGGTGCTAATAATGCCGAGGTTGCAGGTTCGATTCCCGTATGGGACAGTTGCATATTCCTGCGTTGCTGTGGGTTGACTAGACTCAGTATCCCTTCCAGTTTCGATTCTATGAACTTGTTTGCAGAACTGTGTACCTTGGTCAAAGCTGCATACCAAAAAATGTTCATATTAGGAGAAATGCTGAAGAATTTCAGTGTTGTTGTTGTTTTAAAATCACAAATTGCTGCAGAAAGGTGGAGCTGAATTTAAGATTGGGAAAATGGGAAACTGAGGGGATGGAAAGTGACAGATCCATTCACCCTTAGCTGCAGGCAAAGGTCTTCCCCAGCACCTACTGCCTGAGAACATTTAGCTGGAGATGTCAACCTGGAGCCTTCTGTAAAGAAAGCATGTGATTTACTACGGAGTTCTGGTCCATCCCTGTCACCTGGGTGCCCCCCAAGTCACCAGGAGTCATCTATATATCTGTGCAGAAATTTGCAGTACAAGCTCTCTTTCCTCTTTCAGGAAGAAGAAGCGAGCAATCATCATGATGGTAACTGTTGTGGTTTTATTCACCATCTGCTGGGCTCCTTTTCATGTAATGCACATGATGATAGAATACAGTGAGTAGCTTTTTCTTTTGAAATTGTAGTAGTTGGTTTTGTGATCAAGGTGGCCAGTGAAACCCCACAAAACTCAAAGTTTTTATGGCATGACCATATAAAATGCCCAGCACATATATACAGTGCTACCTCGGGTTACATACACTTCAGATTATATACGCTTCAGGTTACAGACTCCGCTAACCCATAAATATCATCTCAGGTTAAGAACTTTGCTTCAGGATGAGAACAGAAATTGTGCAGCGGCAGCAGGAGGCCCCATTAGCTAAAGTGGTGCCTCAGGTTAAGAACAGTTTCAGGTTAAGAACAGACCTCCAGAATGAATTAAGTCCTTAACCTGAGGTACCACTGTATTTCACTAAAGGTCTATAGCAGTGGTTCCCAACCTTTTTCGGCCATGCCCCACCTAAGCATCTCTAAAATCCTGATGCCCCCCGCCCATGACATATAATTCTTATTATTCAAAAAATGAACTCCTATTCACGGAGAGGAAGCCTAAAAGGCCATTAACTGTTAATAACTCATTTTTTGAATTGCCCCCCCCCCTAAAAATCAAATTGCCTCCCTGTGGGGCATGTGCCCCACATTGGGAACCACAGGTCTGCAGGGACACTGAAAAGAAAGAATTAATCTATCATAATTGGAATAATAATTATAATAATAATTTATTATTTATACCCCACCCATCTGGCTGAGTTTGGTTTTAAAAAAGATGCCTTAATACATTTTACCATTTATAAAATTCAGCTACCCAATACCATTTTGAGGTAGCAACTCTTTGCTTTTTTATGTTTCATTTAGTCTCCTTCCTACACCTTTCTTTCCTTTGTAGGTTTTTTATAACAGCCATCTCCTTTTATTCTAGTTATCTGAATTGCTTTTTGAATGCCTTTCTCTCCCCCCCCCTGATTTTGAATTATAGTGCACTTTCTCAGCTAAACTTTGTCCTTGAAGTAAATGAACAAACCGTGGCAGTTCATTGTTGTCAAGAATTATGGCACTTGATTTGAAATTGTGAAATATAGATGTTTGAAGGTTTTTTATGCTATTGCTATTGATTTTGAAGTGAAAAACATTATATACTCTTATGGAATACAAGTTAAGTGAATGCCAGGGTGCGATGGTATGGGGCTTCATTGTAGAGTCATCTATAGACGTTCTCAGTTGTCAAATGTTCCATAATTCAGAACTGATTGGGATTTTTAGCAAGAGGTCCCCAAAGCCTCTCTTTTGAGGCTTGAGGGTTGGTCTGAAGACTTGGAACTGGCTCATTTTTCCTCAGACCAAAGTTGCCTTGGATTCAGGTAAAAATAAAGGTAAAGGGACCCCTGACCATTAGGTCCAGTCGTGGCTGACTCTGGGGTTGCGGCGCTCATCTCGCTTTATTGGCTGAGGGGGGCGGTGTACAGCCATGTGGCCAGCATGACTAAGCCACTTCTGGCGAACCAGAGCAGCGCACGGAAACGCTGTTTACCTTCCCATCGGAGCGGTACCTATTTATCTACTTGCACTTTGACGTGCTTTTGAACTGCTAGGTTGGCAGGAGCAGGGACCAAGCAACAGGAGCTCACCCCGTTGTGGGGATTCGAACCGCCAACCTTCTGATTGGCAAGTCCTAGGCTCTGTGGTTTAACCCACAGCGCCACCCGCAGAGCCAACCTGAGTATCTCCAAGGTGAGGGCATTCTCACATCCGACTTGTGCCTCATCTGAGGCAAGTTCGCATCTTAGCACTTAATGTACTGTATCATCAAATTACCAAGTAATGCTTACCAACACAAAGCCAGTTCTTAATGGGTGTTTTCTTCTCTCCAGGTAATTTTGAAAGGGAGTATGATGACGTCACCATTAAGATGATCTTTGGCATAGTTCAGATCATTGGATTTTCCAATTCCATTTGCAATCCCATTGTGTACGCCTTTATGAATGAGAACTTCAAGAAAAACTTCCTCGCTGCCCTTTGCTTTTGCATTATAAAGGAAAACCTGTCCCCATCCAGGCGACGTGGAAACTTAGGGATTACAATGAAGCAGCAGAAGGATGAAGGCTGCAGGAGACAACCCAACTCCTTGGGGGAGAGCAGAAGAGAAGCATTCAGCGAAGGGAACATTGAAGTAAAACTCTGTGATCAGTCCTTTGCCAAAAGGAATTCCAGAAGGCACCTTGCTTTGTTTACCTCTGAACTCAATGGGCATGCTTCACTGGGATGCTAGCATTATGGACATCTCACTGGATCCTTGATACTTGAGAATGTTTGCATCAAATCCTAGGCCTGGCCAATCTGAAGGCTTCATGTAAATAGTCAACAAAGCAGGCTTTGGCTCCTTCAGTTGTCAGCTCAAGCTGCTGATCTCAGGGACCATAGAATCATAGAATCCTAGAGTTGGAAGAGACCCTGAGGATCATCTAGTCCAACCCCCTGCAATGCAGGAGTATGCAGCTGTCCCATATGGGGATCGAACCTGCAACCTTGGCATTATCAGCACCTTTTCATGGCACTAGTCTGGGCCTGACACTGAGCTAAGAACTAATCTAGCTTATTCACTGACCCTTTGAAAATTAGCACAGTATAGGTGTTAATTCCTACTGGACTACGTGATGGTGCAGCATTTTCTTCTTTTCTTCAATTCCTTCTCCTGTTCCTTTGTTATGCTTCCTGGGGACTGGTGTGGAAGCTGTTCTTTTCTTTTCTTTTCTTTTCTTTTCTTTTCTTTTCTTTTCTTTTCTTTTCTTTTCTGATCTGTTCTTCTCCAATCTAAGAACAACAATCTGCTTAATTGCAAGGGAAATTGCTTTGGCTTAGTTAACCTTGAAGATGGCATCCTCACCAGTGGTATTTGAGGATTATTTGCGTGCATTTGAAACAGACAATTGTAAACAAATTGCACTATTTGATTTTGCCTAAAATTGAAGGATCTTCACAGCAGTGCAGTGGTTTAATGCTCTGTTTTGTTACTTGTTGCTAGTGTTCTTTTTTAGAGATAGGGTTGTGTTTAACTAACTTATTCTCAGGGTAGACCCACTGAAATTAATTGACCTAGGTTTGTCATGCCCATTGATTTCCGTGGGTCTACTCTGAGTAAAAGTTAGTTGAGTACAAGCCAGTTTCTCCAAAACCTGGCTTATAGTGGAATATTTTTTATAACTGCATGCAGCTTAGCTAAAGGAAGTCTGTTTTCCTTTATATAAAATGTTCTGTTGCCTTCAAATTATTGGCCAAATAATCAAATAGTACAACGAAATAACCTGTAATTTGTTTTGCATTCATTCAGTGTACAAGGCCAATATTTTTTTAGCAAAGTTGTGATTACAAATAAAATGTGACATTTAATTTATGAAGACATTTTAATGCTGTTGCCTTTTAAAATGATTATATACTGTCACCTCTCTCGCATCATCATGCCCTTAAGCCCAACTTTTATTCATAATAGTTTCCCACCCCCATTACTCTTTAATTCAAATAACAGCCCTTCAAAACACTGAGCATTTGTTGCATTTTCAAATGCTGGTAATTTCTCCTGTATATGCATTAAAAGTGGACTATTTCCATTTATCTGATTATGCACCTCATTTTTAAAGTGTCTAAAACTGAACAAGCATCTTCCCCATGGGCCACTATATTACATATGATCCAACTTCTAGAATTCTCTTTGAAAATGTGGATTTCTCCAAAAAGGGCACCCTCAAGACATCAGTATTTCCCACATTTCTAGGTATAATTTGCAGGACTGGATCACTCAATGGCTATATTATGGAGCCACTATTATCATTCCACATCATGCTTTAAAATTTTAGTCACGGCAGAGATTGCCTAAGCAACTGTGAGTGGTGACACCTGTTTGAGCACTAAACTTGAAGATCTGGATTTGCATCACAGCTCTGAGATGAATTCACTTGTCCTTGCCCAGCAGTTTCAATACATGCCATGACAGGAATTATGTGCCCATTTAAAAGTGGAACAGTGTTTTCAGAGCTGCATTTAGGTACCTCTTAAAAAAGGCGCGCACACTGTGTGCTTGTGTCACTGCAGCAAACACTTGTACTGAGAAAAACATAGTGATTTATGTAGATAGGGAGATGAGCCCCGCTCCGCTGCCTAGAAAACCATTTCTTTTCATTCCAGTACTCTTACCATGGGACTAGAGTAGATGGGGATTACAGAGGGAAAGGCTGCTTTCCCCTGTCCTTTCACCACTCACTGAGCATTGTCTGCAAAAGTGAGTTGGTTGGATGTATCTGTGTGTGGTATTTTACCTGTGCAATTAGTAGTTACAGACTGATGACATTGCCAGAATTGCAGGGGAATCTGAGTAGCTATGAATGCTATGGGAGACTCTCAGTTTCTGCATCTTATCATCCTTTCAGTATTATCAGTTGAGATGCTTGCAATTAAGGCTTAGAATATGGACAGGCTTGCCATATTTGCAGGAACAGTAACGAATAGTTGCCAAATAGGAAATTTGCTGCAAAGCAGTGCAATGATGTGGATTGTTCGCTTATGTTTTTTGTGTACATTAGTGATTCTACATTGTTTTTAAAAAAACTGCTTGAGAATATCTGCATGTGCCTGTGGTACTATCCCTATTCTTTGACAAAGGATATAAGATTCTTATTTTGGCTGAGAATGTTGGCTTATCTTTAATTTGCACCCACAGTATACTTTTTATGGGTTCCGTTTATGGAAACCATGGTTTTTCAGTTTCCTAGAGGAGGGCACTGTGAGGTCTAACTACATATTGCTTTGCAGAGTTCTAAGAGTATCGGTTGAAAGATCAACTAAATAGAAAAATGTGTTGCATCAGAATGATAGTATTTCCCGTAACTGGATGTTTACAAATAGGTTTAAAAAAAAGGGGGGGGCAAATTCCATGCTAGAAGTTAATAGCAAAAGGACTGGAAATCAATCTGTCAGTATCCTAATGCTCCCAGGGAAATGGGATTAGGATTGCAGCTTTAATATGGTTCCTGCTATGAATTTTAAGCACCAACAGAATGCACTATTGATCATTGTTTTTCTCACGTGGAAATAAGTGGTCTCTTTTGTTGACCGTGGGCTTCAATCTGTGCTCCTCAGATTGTGCTCTGAAGACTTCGAGCTGTCAAGCACAAAATCATGTTTACTATAAACAATTTAAAACATAAATTGAGTGTTATTTCAGCAGATGCACAGAGCACCACGTTCTATATAAAACGCTCAGTTATGAAATAAAGTACTGCGGTGCAAAAAAGGGCTTATCTAAGTGGAACTAAGAGTGTCTATAAAATGTTTTCATATTCCCTCTGGAATTTATACAATTCCGTATATCAAGAGGGTATTAAAACGATCTTTCCCAGATGCTTGAGGGAGGTTAATTAGCAGGATTGATTTTTTATGGAACTGTAAAATCAAGATGGGTTTGTGATGGGAAGTTAGCTACTCATTAGCTTTGTCTTTAAGATGTTACAATGCTTGTGCCCCCCCCCCACAAAAGACTTAATAGGGCTGCTCCTCTGGAAATCCATTATTCAGCACAAAATGAATGTAAACATCCACTGAAGACTGATATATGCATAGCTATCATTCACTATGATATGTGTAAAAAGAAAATACACATATTTTTGCATTGTTGTTGTTTAGTCATTTAGTCGTGTCCGACTCTTCGTGACCCCATGGACCAGAGCACACCAGGCCCTCCTGTCTTCCACTGCCTCCCGCAGTTTGGTCAAACTCATGCTGGTAGCTTCGAGAACACTGTCCAACCATCTTGTCCTCTGTCGTCCCCTTCTCCTTGTGCCCTCCATCTTTCCCAACATTAGGGTCTTTTCCAGGGAGTCTTCTCTTCTCATGAGTTGGCCAAAGTATTGGAGCCTTAGCTTCATGATCTGTCTTCTCTTCTCATGAGATGGCCAAAGTATTGGAGCCTTAGCTTCATGAGCACTCAGGGCTGATTTCCTTTAGAATGGATAGGTTTGATCTTCTTGCAGTCCATGGGACTCTCAAGAGTCTCCTCCAGCACCATAACTCAAAAGCATCAATTCTTCGGCGATCAGCCTTCTTTATGGTCCAGCTCTCACTTCCATACATCACTACTGGGAAAACCATAGCTTTAACTATACAGGTCTTTGTCAGCAAGGTGATGTCTCTGCTTTTTAAGATGCTGTCTAGGTTTGTCATTGCTTTTCTCCCAAGAAGCAGGCGTCTTTTAATTTTGTGGCTGCTGTCACCATCTGAAGTGATCATGGAGCCCAAGAAAGTAAAATCTCTCACTGCCTCCATTTCTTCCCCTTCTATTTGCCAGGAGATGGCAATACCAGAGAAAGACTTCTGCAACATAAATTGTTTGCAGCAGAACAAAAATTACAGGATCAAATTTCAAATGGCTGTAGAATGAGCTCTTCCCTGACTGGGCTGCTGAAGTCTAAATGAGCAGGAGGAGGATTTATTATATAGTAAAAATAGATTCCAGAGATCCTGAGAGGAGCAGATACCTGCACTGAGCAATTATCTGAATCTCTCCAACACACAGTTGGTTTGACACAGCACTGCTCAGCATTGGTGCTGCATTAATGGCAAGGCCAGTACACCTTGCAAGGGAATTTAAATGGAAGCTTCTCAGCACTGGTTACTTTACCCGCTTTTTAATTTAATTTTTTGGACAAATTTTAAAGGGTTTCATCTGGACCAGCAGAGGCTTGTGTCACCTTGACCAGGGCCTCAGCACACTGGCATTTTTGCCCAGCCACACTGTGTGCTGATATTGACCCTGGCGAATGAAGTGCTGGTGGGTTTGACCAAAATGTTAAAAGAACTCAAGTTTGTTATTTGTTCGATATTCCTGGCAATTGACATTGTATTGTGCATATGGCCAGTGACTGTGGTCACTGTATTACTGTGGATTTTATACTATCCTAAATCATGTATTATTGCTTACACTGTTTTCATTGTATGGTTTTACTATTTATGTACACTTTTTGACATTTTAAAATGTAGAAGAGTATGTAAATGTATATAAACAGTATTCACTATTTATAAAAACAAGACGCTGTTAAAATTGAAAGCATGTATTTGGAATTGTGTTTCTGGAGGTGGAAACTAAACTTCGCTTCTTAATATTTCTGAAGCCTGCGTAAAAAAATATTTAAAGTTGTGTGTCCTTCTTGGACTCTCCAGCTGTGGCCATAGCAAGGCTGTAATTAAAATGTCAACTTAAGCAAGGAGTTGGGAAGAAGCAGAGAATGGTTGAAAGTTTCCTCCCTTGAATATATAGGCCTTAAAAACAACAACCCAGAAAACAGACCTATTAGCAGATTGCCAGTCAGAATCGTTTCCTACTTTAGTGGGGATTATGCAGGTGGGAGGGATGAAGACTTGTTCAATCTTGCTCAGTGGAGACCGAAGGGAGATGCTATCTTGTCTTCATATAAATCTTTCCTGAAGTAATTCTTCACAG